CACCCGGCAGCCAGCTCTGCAGCACGCCAAGGGTCTCACCAGCTCCGTGTTGAGGCCGGGGACCGACTTGCTCCTGTCCCCTAAAGAGCCACCTTCCCCCACAAAGTCCTCTGGGCGCAGGTCGATCACCGACTTGGTGTAGTCTGCATGAGACAGCGAGGCAGGAGACGGTGGCACAGTGCAGGACTAGCAGAGCCCTGCGGCTCCCATGCTCCAAGGGGCTGGCGCAGGCTCTCCCGTCTGCACTGAAAGCCCACCACAGCCCAGGGAGAAGCAGCCACCCACCCCCTGCCACATTGGCACCCTGCACCCATGCAGCTCTCACCCGCGGGCCTCACCACCCGCCGAGGATTCTTCTTGAATATCATTTCGTGCTCGTCAACCAAAGTGCTGCTACGGCTCCCCACAGTGGCATCCTGGGCAGGAAGGGTCCCTTCAGAGCAGGGCAGAGCTGGGCACCCCCCGGGGCTCCCAGCCCCATGCCCCAGGACAGGGCTGAGCCTGCCGGAGCAGCAGCACACACCCAGCCGTCGGAGAACGTGTTTTTAGAGCGGAGAGGGAGGGTCAGGCTGGAGGCAGCGGGTCCTGCCGGCGCAGCAACCTGCTTTCCATCTTTGAGGAGGGCAGCTCTCTCCAGGGAGTTCCTCCTGCAGAGGACACAGAAAGGTCTGTCCCAGGCCAAGAGCACGGCTGGAGAGCAAGGTCTTCCCACAGGCTCTCCGGACCAACCCAAGCTCCTCAGAACACCCCAGCCCACGCAGGACCAGGTTTCAGCCCAGTCAGAGGAGCCAGCTCCATCTCACCAGACCGAAAAGTTGAACAGAGAAAAACACACTTCAGAGGAAGGTCCTCATGCTCTGCCAGGCCAGCCTTGCCAGGCACAACCTACCCAGGTGCCCCCAGGAGCCCCTCACCTGCCCCCCACGCCACCGGGACTAGGTCTGTAGCCATCCAGGCTCATGTTTTCCATGGACTCTGTGTCACTTTTGCCATCCCGAGGGTCTGAGGCATCCAGAAACAAACTGCAGACAAACAAAACCACAGGTATGTCCTGTTTGGTGAGGAGGCTGGTCTGAGAGCAAGCTTCTGCACCACCAACAATCCAAGCAGGGTGACAGCGTCCCTCCCGTCCCTGCAGAAGCCAAGGGGTGGTGCCCAGAGCTGAGGAGACGGCAAAGATGCTCACCTGGGCCCCTCTCGGGATGCTGAGGGGCTCTGCTGCCGGGATGCTGAGGAGCTTTTGGGCTCACTGAGCTGGGCTTTCTGGAGAAGGGTTTGTCCCACAGTCTCTCTTTTGCTGGCTGGAAGGAGAAAGGCATCAGGAGGACTACAGCCCCAAGCCCATTGCCTGGAGCAAGAGCTGCTCCCAGCCAACTCCGCACTGGGCAGAGGCACACCAGGGAAAGCCAGAGCATCCCGGAGGGCCAGGCTGCAGGAGAAGACATTGCTGTGGCAGC